CCCCAAAACCCCAAAACCCCAAAACCCCGTCTGATCTAAATATTCATATTTAAGGTGTAATTTATCAGAATTTGAATATTGATTGGCAATACATATTGGATCCTAGTACTATAAATTATAAATTTACTTTAGCTTTCTAACTAAACCCGATTTAAATAAATCACTCACAATCACACAGCAATGTTCTCAAGACTACAAGTATTAATTCAACACAAGTAACAGCCAATTCTCTCACCCCTCGAGATTAAGGGCGACATTTTCGTGAACAAGACCAAGCGAAGAGCCTTCTCAGAGGAAAACGATAGTCTAGCTTTGGAAAACTACAGCCAAAAGCAAGATGAAACATCTACAATGGGTTCATCATCAGTTATGCTGACTGAATTCATGCAAGAACTAGTCAAGCTCCCCGAATTCGAAGATGAAGACATCAAGAACATTAAGATCTCAGTCTGACTGAAGAAGTCTCAGCGGTAATGAGATAATTCATGATACCTTATAAGAATATGTAATTTAAGTTGAATGGGATAACTGAAAACTAATATTCAAGCTACTATATTGGATTTTCATTTTAAGTTACCCGATATATATTACTTTCTGTTAATTAATTTCTTAAGTTTAAAAATCTAAATTCTCTTTTGCTTATTTAAATATATAACAAATTCTAATACTTGTAGATTATTACTAATAAAACATGGTAAGAATTAAGTAGCGATACATTCTAGGTGAAATTTAATTTAACCAATAAGGCTTTGTTGACCCAAGCACATTCAACCAAAAGTCTTTGATTGAAGCCTTTAGAGAAGCAGTCAAGGATTGCTATGGCGATCTTGGCCTTGCAAAGATTTAATCAAACTTTATAGGTATCATTCTTTAAATCATATTCATCAATAAATAATTGTCAATCCTGTATAGTTAAGTATTGGAATCCTGCAACTTGAGTGTTTATCCTGAAAGTAGGAAGGGAAAATGAGCAAATGGCAGTGACTAGTCTAATCATGATCACCAAGTTGTATCAGCATGAATCTAAAATTAGAACACTACACGTTGGAGGTACATTGGAGAAAGTAGAGAAAGCTTTGAAAAATATGACAGAGTCTTGGATTGAAAATCAAACTAAGAAAAATCAGGCTACCTCAATTACTACTAAGTGATGGGGAAATAGAAGAGATTAAAAATAAATATTAGAGGAATAAGTTATGGCATCCATGTAAATACATAATTAGCAGATTGAATGAGAATCGCTTAAGATTAGTTTAGTATATAAATATTTGTCAGATAACTGAGTTATACATGCATGATGGGGTTTTGGGGTTTTGGGG